ACAGAATCATCGTCTTACTAATCCCTATAAACTAATTGATATATTTGAAAATTGTTCAGTTAAGTTAATCAAAAGATTATGCAAGTTAATCTATTTATATTACAGTCAGTTATATTTCTCATACCACTTGATGGAATGAAAAAAAAATGTGAAATTTATTGATATATTTATTCAGTTAATTAATTGTACAAAATATCATACTGCTTAGGGTAATCCAACAGTGATGAAGAAAATATATTATGTCCGTAGAGGCAGTTTGAGAAAACTTTCTTCTTATATGTAGTCATAGTAAAAACGATTCTCATTTGATCATTGTTCAACTAATATTATGATAATATAATTTCGATAAGAGTTCTGTAGTATAGCATATGAAGATAAAACTAAATCATATTGTCTTCGATGTGTATTCTCCTTTTGCTCTATCACACTCCCATCAACACCTAGGTTCTTCTCCTGAAAAGCTTGTCATCATTATTAGTCTTTTGTACAGGAATGTTGTACAAATATTGATAATTATGAGTTCACTTTCATGAATTGAAAACGAATAATTTTTCTAGTTTCTTATTTTTTTGCACAAGTAATGTTGGTCTAAAATAATACGCTCAACAAAAACACGATGTAATATTTTGTAGATGTCTGTATTTTATGCTTAGAAATGAATAGTATTTAGTATTGATGTTTTTTTTTAGCAAAAACATCTTCTCAATTATGATAATTTTAATATTCGACGTCAATAGAAAACCTGCGAGCAGATATACTTGTCTTTTTGCATTACCAATAATCAAGCGGCACAAAAATATATGAATTACAAGTCACAGAGATATTTGTTTTTAATTACAAATAAGGCTTCATCTTCTCTAGACTGGACATGCATTTTTCTTTACTAGAATATAGATTGAAAGGAAAACTTATGACATTGTTCCTGAATAATTTTCATTTATGGCGGCAGAAACTTGTTTTCTATTCGTTGTCCTTCAAATGGTCTAATGTTGTTTTTGATAACGTCGTCGCTAAGGAGAGAAGTAACCGAAGCGATTAATCAGCTTTGAGTTCAAACTCTGTACATAAGGTAGACCACAGTAAGATATGAAAACCTCCCCAAAAGGATAAAGGCCCATAGGTCTTCCCTCCAGAGTTATAGGCATTTTACTGGAATGTTAGCCTATAGCACAGTATATGCTAACAAATCGAATGATGATATTTCGACCTGAAATTTCGTCTGAAGATAGATCTATTTGTAAGTAGAATGCCCTGAAATTTTCAGCTAAAACAAAATGTTTTCTTCACAAGATGTTGAATTCCCAAAAATCACTCATTTGTCATGAAAGATGTGAGAGTCTTCTGTCCTTTTGAAAATTTAATATCTCGTGAAGAAAACATTTTGTTTTAGCTGAAAATTTCAGGATATTCTACTTACAAGTAAGACCAATCTTCAGACAAAATTTTAGGCCGAAATATCGTCATTCGATTTGTTAGCGTATACTGTGCTAAAGGCTAACATCCCAGTAAAATAATTATAACTCTGGAGGGAAGGCCTATGTGCCTTTTGCATCATAATGTCATTGACCGAAACATTCGACATATGGTCAGTGAGACTCAATGTTTCAGTAAATTGAATCTCTTAGTTTGAAAGAGCACAAGTGGGTAGAATAATAATGGCAGGTAGCTTTTTAGATTACATTAAATTTGTTGAAGTAAAATTTTTATAGAGACTAATTTCCACGTACCTTAGATTGAGAGAAATATTGTACTTCATCGAATGATGTATTTGAAATTATGTTTCTGAATCACTATGTTATACGTATGGAAATCTGTTTTTGTAAGGAACAATATTTATTAGAATTCATATGTTAGAAAGATGAAGAAAGTAAATATGAAAAATATTTTTCAGCTGCTAAAAAGTTATTTTATATGTCTAAAGATACTTTAGTTTGAAAAATAAGTTAGCGTTTAAATAGACTTCTTAATAGAATTGTTTTCATCAATATTAATTGGAATTGTTTAGTTTCGGTCTATGATTCATATGTTTCTAACGCAATCATGCGAATCTTAGTGACACTAGAATGATAATGGAATTTTTCGAAGTTCAGAGGCCTACACAAAATTTTATCTTAAGATTTTGTCAAACGGTTTTATTGGAACACTACTTAAATGTTACTGTCTTTATGGGAGAATATAGCTTGATGATGCATACAAATTATCAACTTTGAAAAAGATTTATGAAAATGTAAAATTTGCTTTTACTATATAAAGACCCGTTAAATCATGTCTTTCGCACGTTGGAAGTTACGAGAAATCATCAACAATGATTTCAATAAAAGTAATCTATTTAAATATAAAAATATGCTTCGGCTTTTACCAATTTAAACATGCTTGTACATTCATTAATAAATGAGTGATAAAGTTTAAATTAAATAAGTAGAAAAAAATATTCTATGAGATATCGATTTTTCCTGTTAATTCATCCTCGAAGTTTCGTATCACAAAATTCGCAATAGAGAGAAATATGAATGCCAACTACTTGTACTACGTGGTTTTCTTTAAAATAATTCTTGTTTTATTGCAAAACTATAATCACAATGAATTATTTTTGCACATTTATTTTTCTTATTCTCATCATATTATAAATGTATTTCAAATAATGAAGCAACTAGTTTACATTCCTTATAAACTTCACTTTATGAGATATGTGATTGAATTCATATATCACTTTGAATCTTTACTGTTTACCTATAAATAGATATCGGAAATACTAAAAGAAAATTCACTATGTCTATCATATGTCGTCCACTATCTAAAAACATAGGATTTGATTTCATTCTCCGATTAGAAAGACGATGGCGCGAGATTTTTCTTTTCGTAAAGTGTTGCACTTTCTATCGAATTTTTAACCCATTCTACTTTGGGAAAATCTGGAATTGACTCAAATTTTCTCTCTCCTATGTTGATCTAAAGATCTTTAGAAGATTCTGAACGCTTTAATCAAAAAAGTTGTTTATTTGACTGAAATGTTTCGCAATACTTTGAAAGCCAAGGTTTTTTCGAATGGCACAATTATTCACCTATAAATTGGATATATTTCAAAAGAAATATTCTATCTAATTAAAATTTTTTAAAAACTCTGGTACACGTTAAAACCAAATTATTAGATTCAAATTATTTCATGACAGTTGTCGCCATTTTCGAACACACATTAAATATTCATCTTATCAAAGGTTTATGACACGACCAATGATAAGAAGCGAACGAAAAAAAAGCAATCTTAGTAGTTACGTGCAGTTGTTGAGTTTTCATTTGTGTTCTTTTTACTCTTATCGTTGATCATCTTTGCTCTTTGAAACGTATATTACTTATTGCATCTTATGGCTTCAAATAAACAAGTTCTACGCCATGTTGTCTTATTAAAATTCAATGAAAATACATCAGCAGCTGATATAACACGACTTGAAAATGAATTTCGTACATTGGCAACAGTCAAAGTTTCTCAAGTCAAGGAATATGAATGGGGTACAAACGTCAGCAAGGAAAATCTTGATCATGGATATACTCATTGTTTCATACTGACATTTGCTAATGAAAAAGATCGGGATATATATGTTGATCATGAAGATCATGTGGCTTTTGTCAATATCGTAAAACCACATTTGGCTGAAGTAACTGTGGTTGATTTTTGGGCGAATAGTTAAACTTAATGTGTTATTATAAATATTTTAATAAGAAAATAAAATACTATTTGATTTATCATAATAGAAGATTTCTAAATATGTAAACTAATTTTGTGAAATCATAGTCCATTAGTTAGAAATACCATAAAACTATGAGAGGATATTATTTTTTTTCTTCCTCAGCTTTATAGGAAGGAAACTTGAGTTTTTTTTTTATTTTGATTAATTTTTCATGAAAGAAAAAAAAATAATCCATGAATGAATAATTTTAGACGAATCATTCATTGGAAACATAACAAATCAAAGCATATATAGTTTAGAAATGTATCTAATAAAGCAAAGAGTAAACAAAATCATCGTAGTGTATAATTATGAAGGATAAAGGTTTGTCAAGTAGGATTAATATTATCGGGTGGGTCAAAAGTCATCGGGGAGTTTTTCATTGTAAATAACTTTTTTATAGAAATAATAAAGGTAGCTAGGATTTTCACTGTTAGAAAGAAAAGACATGAAGACATCGAACCATATAGAAGAAACATAATATTCATATTTTTTTGGAAAGTTTTTGAAGAATCAAGATTAAACAAAATGGTGTACTTAGAATTTAAAATGTTATAGGAATTTCGAAAATCTCAGTTTTGGTTAAAATCTCTGTTTTTTTAAAACCCTTGTAAAAATGTTTTTCAATATTATGTTTTGTTATATGATTCCATGCCCTCAAATCTCCTCTTTTCAACGATGAAAATCACAGCTTTCTTTCTTGTTTCAATCAAATGTTATTCGTAGTGAAAAGCTATTCGATGACTTTTGGGTCACCTTGTACACTTCTAAAACTAATTATGATCTCAATATTGAAATAACAAAAAAAAAAAAGAAAAATTTTTCGTGTCAATTAGAGAAACTAGTTTTAAAATTTTTTTTTCCTAGTGTAAGTTTCTTCTAATTTCTTTTATGAAACTAATCTAAAAAAAGTCATAATGATCAAATTAGTTTCAAATATACATATAAAATCATTCGATATGTAATTATCATGATTAACACATTGATAATACAATATATTCTATTGATAATAATATTTTCATGATCAAATGATTGACTAGGATTAGATTAATAGATTCATGCTGAACGAAAGCATAGAATTATGATGAAGATTTTTCAAATGCTCAAGAGGACTCTAGTAGACAGCATCAACGTACTGCTATTTTTTATTGGTTTTTACATTGTACGAGTAATAAATGAAAGAACACATAGACAAAGTACACAAGAAATGTTGATGTGTTAATATATGGACTTATCGTACGTTTTTTACTTTCTAGAAAAAGTGCAGTTAATTTAATGATCAGTCATTGGCGTTCTCGAAAGTACGATTAATAGTATTTTTTATAGGATGCACACACACTCTATTCGCTGATTACTTTGATTTCAGCATAGGAAACATTTTCATGTTGGTGAGGGTTCGTGTATATCTTGTAGAAATAGACGATTAGTTAATAAAGATTTTATTGTTAAAATTCTTTTATTTATAGTTTCTCTTTAATTCGTTTAATTGTTAATATGGCTCAACAAGAACAGCAACGTTTTGTTAATCGTTTAGCAAACGAAAAATCTTCTTATCTTCAACAACATGCACATAATCCAGTTAATTGGTAAGAAAAAGAAATATAATAAAACAAAAATTCTTTATTATTATATTCATTTCAGGTATGCATGGAGTCAAGAAGCATTTGAGAAAGCTCGTCAAGAAAATAAACCGATCTTTCTCTCAAGTAAATCGAAACTGTTTGATTTTCTTTGATAAAAAGACACAAACTTCTTCTCTAGTTGGTTATAGTACTTGCCACTGGTGTCATGTAATGGAACATGAATCGTTTGAAAATAATGAAATTGCAAAAATACTTAATGATCATTTCGTATCAATTAAGGTTGATCGAGAAGAACGTCCGGATGTCGATCGAGTCTATATGACATATCTTCAAGTAACTCTTTTCTTCTATTATTTGGCTTTATTTCTTTTGTTTGGTTTTTAGGCAACAAAAGGTGGTGGCGGCTGGCCATTATCTGTTTGGCTCACTCCACAATTACAACCATTTTATGCTGGTACATATTTTCCACCGACTAATGAACATCGATATGGTAGTCCTGGTTTTAAAGAAATTTTACTGAATTTAAATAAAGCATGGTCAACAAAATCAAATGAAATTATTGATGGAAGTAAAGATGCAATACAACAATTGACGAAAGCTGCAGAAAAACAAGCAGCTAGTACAGAAAATAATCCTGATTTACCGGCAAATACAAGTATACAAACATGTTTTGCTTATTTTGCTAATGATTTTGATGATGATAATGGTGGTTTTGGTACACATCCAAAATTTCCTCAACCGGGTATGTCCAAAAGAAAACTCTTTTTTTTTTGTTGTCAAAAAATTTTCTTTATTAATCAATATTTTCTATAGTAAATTTTAACTTTTTATTAACACATGCTGCGTTAAGTCATCAAGCAAAAGGAAAACCAGATGTTGCTCGATTAGCTATTGATATGACTCAAATGACATTAAAAAAAATGTCTTTAGGTTATTAATTTTATTTATTTATTAAATACAAATCTTTGAAATTTATATATATATATATAGGTGGTATCAATGATCAATTAGGTAAAGGTTTTCATAGATATTCAACAGATGATAGATGGCATGTACCTCATTTTGAAAAAATGCTTTACGATCAAGGACAACTGACTGTATCATTAGCTGATACATATGCTGTAAAACAAATAATATTTCTATGAATAAATAACTTTATTACTTGTTTTTTTCTATTAAAGATTACCAAAGATGAACTTATTGGTCAAACATTACAAGATCTAATTTCATATGTTGAACGTGATCTACGTCATAGTAAACATGGAGGTTTTTATTGTGCTGAAGATGCTGATTCATTACCGACGAAAAATGATACGAAAAAAAAAGAAGGTTAGAAAAATTTAATAATAAACTAATATTAAATAAAGATATATTTTTGTAAAACATAACCGCTCATTACAGTATATTAATTACTTCCTTATTGTATTACGTGAGAAGTAAACACACGGTAGGTAAAGAAATGAGATCTAAGAGAGACAAAATAAAACAATTTTTCTATAATTAGTAACAGCAGTTTCATTGTGTTTTACATTTTAATTACTGCAGGGATAGTACTAACAGCTGTTTCTGTTTATATTTAGGAGCATTTTATGTTTGGAATTATGATGAATTATATAAACTTTTACCTGAAAAACATGCTGATATTTTCTGTGCTTATTATCAATGTAAGAAAAATGGTAATGTTGATCCTATGCAAGTAAGATAAAATTTGTGTTAGTTTATATCTAGTTTTAATTCTAAAGGATCCTCATGATGAATTAAAACATCAAAATGTTCTTATTACAAATGGTAACCTTCAAACTATTATGGAGAAATTCAAACTTCAAAATATTACGGAAGTAAAAGAAATCTTGGCTAAATGTCATGAAATTCTTCTTGCTTATCGTAATGAAAATCGACCACGACCACATCGTGATGAAAAATTTCTTGCTTCATGGAATGGTCTTATGATAAGTGGCTTAGCTCGTGCTGCTCGTGTACTTCAAGAACCTAAATATATTCAACTTGCTGAACAAGCAATTACTTTTATTCGTACTCATCTTATTGATTCTTCAACAAAACGACTTTTACGTGCATGTTATATTGATCAAAAGACAAATCAAATTGAATATACGTAAGATTCTTCATGAAAGAAATTCATTAGACTTTCTAAACTCCAGAAATGATCTCACTAGTTATGGAGCAATATGGCATAATTTGATTTTTATATAAGATCAACAATTAAAAAGCTTCAAAAGATTATAAACACTTAAAAGCTAATGTTTTACTATACATCTTTGAATTAAAAACAAATTAAACATCAAAGTTCAATATCCAATGAACAAATATGTATAAAATATATCCTTACCTTTTGGGTATTGGATAAAAGACAAAAATAGAAACAAAGAAAGTTTTTTAGCACAGATATCTCTAAATTAGTTTCTTGTTTGGGTGTTTTAGTGTTGTAGAGGCAGAGTCATTAGTTCGAATAGAATTTCTGAGACTTGCAGGCTTGGTTTTGATGTTATCGATCATGTAGCGTCAAGTAATTGAAACTTAGTTTTCCCGACAAATAAATGTATGGTTGTTTAATGAAGACTTATGTCTGCGCATGACGGAAACATGACCTCACATTCCGTGCATCGAAGAGCATTGTTTTGTCTTTCTTCTTTAAGCAGTTGAATTGTATGTCCTGCTATAGTGAGTGGCTAATTCAAGAGCAAGACTGAATAACTTTCGGCAGTTCAAGGACTCCTTGCACTATTTCAAAACCTTGGTGAAATCTATGAGCGTCCAAGAACATCCTCGACAGATGGGCACAGTGAACATTCATTACATGAAAATTATTATCCATGTACTGATTGATGAAATAGATAAAAGAAGGAAAGGCAAACATACAGATCATGGCCGATGAAAAGAGAAATTAACAGAAGAATATGAAAGTAATGATTACAGTCTTTATAAAACTTTGTTTTTACTCTTATAGAGAATCAAAAGTAAACGGATTTTTGGATGATTATGCTTTTATAATACAAGCTTGTATTGATTTGTATGAAGCAAATCTTGATGATGAACTATTGGTATTTGCTTATGAATTACAAAAACAACAAGATGAATATTTTTGGGATACAACTAAAAACAGATATTTTAGTACAGATGGTAAAGATTCTTCAATCATTTTACGACTATACGAAGGTGCTGATGCAAGACGACTATTTTTTTTTTAAATTTAAATTTTTCTTTTTGTTTTTAGATCAGGATGGAGCTGAACCATCACCAAATGGAATATCAGCACTTAATCTACTTCGTCTTAGACATTATTTTGATGATTCATCTTTAGATGATCGTCTTCGTTTGATATTTAAATCTTATGTTGGTGAATTAAATAAAATACCAATGGCAATGCCAACATTGATTCGTTGTTTTGATATGTATACTCATGGTATCAATGAAATTATAATTCAATCATCTAATCAAGCAGAAATTCATCGTATTATTCAATATATTCAAGCATCATATGTTCCAAATACAATATTGATTCATATGAATAAAACTAATCATAAACTCCTGCAATATAATCAACAATTAAAATCTTTTATGGATGAAAATAATAAACAGACAAGAATTTTTCTTTGTCGAAATTTTCAATGTCAATTACCTGTAACATCTTTTGAAGAATTTAAAAGACATTTTGATCCTTTAATTTTAAAATATGAATAAAGAAAAACTATTTTTTTGTTTCAGTCTTTGTATATCTATGTATAGATTATTATTAGTTGATTTATGTCGAACAGTAAGTCAACGTTTTATAACAACAACACCATCAAGAATTCCACCAATAGGTGATAAACCTATTCAATTATATTCATTAGCTACACCAAATGGACAAAAAATAGGTATTGCACTTGAAGAATTTGGACTTGAATATGATGCACATTTAATTGATATAAGTCAAGATATTCAATACGGTAAAAAAAAAGAAAATTTTTTTAAAATTTTAACAAACAAATAAAACAAACTAATATAATAGAGGATTGGTTTAAAAAGTTAAATCCAAATTCAAAAATTCCTGTTCTTGTTGATCTTCAACCTATTGGTAATCATAAACAACCAATAACTATATTTGAAAGTGGTGCAATTTTAATTTACCTTGCTGATAAGACAGGCAAATTTCTTGCATCCACAGGTACACATCAACGATATGAAACAATTCAATGGCTTATGTGGCAAATGAGTGGTGTTGGACCTATGTTTGGACAAGCTAATCATTTTCATAGAGCAGCTAAAGAGGATATCGTCTATGCTAAAAATCGTTATTTAAATGAAGCTAAACGTTTATTAAAAGTACTTGATACACAATTAGCTAAAACAAATGCATTTGTTAGTGGCAGTGATTATACAATAGCTGATATAGCTACGTTTCCATGGGTACGGTTTTTTATAAAAGTTTATAAAGATAAATTAGATGAAAATGCTTACTCAAATATTGAAAAATGGTTAACACTAATTGAAGGTCGACCCCAAGTACAAAAAGGCCTTAAGGTCTGTTCTAAAAATGCCTAAAATAGTATTTTTTTTTTATATGTATTTCTTTTTCTTCTACGTATATTTATACTTAGTCATATCATTCAAATAAATATTCACTCAATAAAACTTATCTCTCTCTCTCCCTTCCTTTATTTTTAATTCATCTAATACGTTCATATTTCAGATATGTCACTTCGCATCGACCAAAAACGTTTTTTTCTTGATACATATAGAACTCGAAATAAAGATTCAGTAACAAATACAGAACAAGCTGATTGTGAACAGGCTGTTGAAAAACTTTTTCAAGATTTTCTTAAGCAAAAATCAATTTCTGGATTAAAGTAAAAGCATAAATATATTATTCAAATAAAGACAATGAATCTTATTTATTTTTAATTTTTTTCAGAGGTCCTACTCTCCATCGAGATAAACATGTAACATTTTTGCTTAAAGGTCTTCGTCATTTGTCACGTACTTATGAAGTATTTATATTTCATTACAAAACGAAAACAACTCATTTAAAATTTTTTTTCATTAGTCACTTGACGCTAGCCGACCATGGCTTATCTATTGGATTACTCAATCTTTATATTTATTAGATGAACAATTGTCTGATTCGTTTATCAATGAGTAAGTCTCTTTTCAAGTATTATTAAGAAAATATTGAGTTGAATTGTTCTGTCCCTTTTGTTTTTTAGTATTTGTGACTTCTTACAACGATGTCAACATCCAGATGGTGGCTTTGGCGGTATGAAAAGAAACATAGAGTGTCTAGAATGTTACTTATCAAAAAGAAAATCATACATCTCAATTAAGATTAAACTAACCCAGAGACTTCTTTTTATAAGATAAAGTTAGAGTTTATAAATACGTCTGAAAAATATAACTTTTGGATCTAATGTATTAAAAAAATCTTTTTTTTATCAAGATTCGGTAAGCAAAAAAACCAGAGCTTTCTGCTAGATTTCTTGACTTTTTTCTTTATTCTGGGGCTTTCGCCATGTCGGTATTTTTCTCTTACTTTATAAATATTTGAATGACACTATTTTTTTAGATTAGAGACATTAGTCTTAAATTTGTTGATTACGAAAATTCTAAATTTTATAACTTAAGTGTCATATAAATATTTGTAAAGTATGAGAAGAATATTGGCATTGCAAAAAGTCTATAATAACGAAACAAATTTAAGCCATTCAAAATAAAACTCTACCTTTTGTTTTTCGAAACTCGATAATAGAAATATTTTATGCATTGAATCTCAAGGTGAGAGTTTTCCAAAATATTTATAAACTCGACAGCTTTATGAATATAAAATTATAAGTCTCGTACAAAGAAGTCATTTGACTACAGCTTAACCCTATTTGAGACGTACAGTTTCCTTTTTTGGTGGGTAAAGTTTAGAATACGTTGTATATTTCTTAAAATAAAAATATTTTCTCATCATAAAAACTAGAGATGGGATTAATTTGGTTCGCAGTATCTCAAATCAGCTTCGATTTAAATTTTAAAAAAATCAAAACCGCTTTCATGTCTAATATAAAAGATTAGAGGAGTACTAAACTACTAAAATAAACTTTTATTATTATTTTATGAAAAAAAAACATTGAGTGTATACATTTAATATTTTCTTTCAGGTGGCCCTGGTCAAATAGCTCATTTAGCTCCAACTTATGCTGCTGTTAATGCTCTTTGTTTATTACGAAGTGAAAAAGCGTATCAGATTATTGATCGGTATGTTTTTTTTTTTGTTAATTATCTTGTTTTCATCATTATCTTGAATTTTAATTTTTGAAATTTTCTAGTAAAAAATTATCAACATGGTTATACACAATACGTGATCCATTGAATGGTAGTTTTAGTCTTCATATCAATGGTGAATCAGATATTCGGTAAGAAAATAATCAAAAACAATTTTGTTTCAATATTAAATTTCAATATTTTTTAGTGCAACATATTGTGCTGCAAGTGTAGCTACTTTATGTCAATTAGAAGATCGAGCTGAACTTTTTGAAGATACTGCTGAATGGGTTGCAAGGTATGATGAAAACAATGTATTTTAATTAAACAAATAAACATGTTTTTCTTAGTTGTCAAACATATGAAGGTGGTTTTGGTGCATGTCCAGGTGCTGAAGCACATGGTGGATATTCATTTTGTGGTTATGCAACACTTTTATTACTTGATCGAGAATCACTATGTGATCGTGAAAGTTTACTTGTATGAAAATCAAAAGATGATAGTTTTGAAAATATCTTGATTTTTTTTATTTAAATAGAGATGGACTGTTAATCGACAAATGATATTTGAAGGTGGTTTTCAAGGCCGTACAAATAAACTTGTAGATGGATGTTATTCATTTTGGGTTGGTTCACTTTTACCACTTATTCAAGCTGTTCAACGAAAAAAACTTATACATGATAATCAAGGTTATTATGATAGTTTTTATGTTTTATTTCTAAAATAAATCTATTTAAAATTTTAGATGTTGTTATTAAAAATCATGAACAACTTTTTGATACAAGTAAATTTTTTTTTTTTTGAAAAAAAAGAAAAGAATCTATTTTTTTTATTAATAAAACTTTTTGTTTCAGTTGCTGCTCAAGAATATGTTCTTCTTTGTTGTCAAGAAGATCAAACAGGTGGCTTTACTGATCGACCTAAAGTTAATTCACGGTGAAGAATTAATTTCATTAATCTTTCTCTTTTTATTTTTGTAAATATTAAACTCTTTATTTAGTGGTAGTGATTTTTATCATACATGTTACTGCTTAAGTGGCCTTAGTTTATTTCAAGATGATGGACAAGATCAAACATCAATAATATGTGGCGATCATGAGAATAAATTAGTAAGACATAAAAAATAAGATTATTCTATAGATGATAATTTTGTTTCTTTTTATCTTCTAGCGCAATACGCATCCTTTGTTCAATATTGGTCCCGAATGTGCCCGAGAAGCTATGGAATACTTTTCACAACAGAAACAGTAGTGCTACTTTGATCTTTTTCTTTTTCTCCTTTTTCCGTTCTTTCCACCATTATGAAATAAAAAAAAAAAAGTGATTCGTCCCTTCATATTTGCTTTTTTTTTCTCTTTTTTTCCATCCTTTATCACATAGGCGTTACATGCGTTGCCAGTATGCGTGTCTGTTCTTTGCCCGCTAATGGTGATGTCATAGACCCTTGTGATCGAGACGTGCACATCAACACGATCCTCATATAAATATAAGACGTTTGTGCACAGAATAGCGACAGAACAGATGCTTGCCCGTCGATTTTTTTTCTCTCGTTTTTTTTTCTTTCTTTCTTCCGAATAGCTGTTTCGCCACCACCAACAACAGCCACAGCGGTTGTCAAAGTGTACGTACATGCCGAGCAATGAAATATAGGATTCAGCGCCCACTATTTTTCTCTTCACCCAGGCCAAACGACAGAGAAAGAAAGAGAGAGAGAGAGAGAGAGAGAGAGAGAGAGAGAGAGAGAAAGAAAGAGAGAAATCAGTGGGTATATATATATAGATAGATCGTCCGTCTTAATTGTTTGGGAAAAAATCTCTCTATATGTCTTGTTGTCATGGTCACTATTCGTTGATTTGTTACAGTGTTCATTTATTTTTTAGCCGTTTATATGCAAGGTTTGTTTTTTCTTTCTATTTGAGAAAAAAATGCACGAGTTCTTGGTGTTCGTCTTTGATTGCTTGAGCAAGGAGAAAACAATTTTTCGGTTTCTTTTTTCAGTAAGAATCAGAGGAAAAATCATAGATCGTCTAAAAATAAGTTGTTGTTGTTGTTGTTTTGCTTTGTTATTGTCGTTGTATTTGCGCGTTAAAAGGGCAAAATGCATCTTGATACTTCGACGACAAGAAACAGCACGAGATGAGACAAATATAGAAGAAAATAACATATGTTGTTATATCATCCTTGGTTTTTTTTTGTTTTTTAGATTAACTCTTTTCTCTCTCTCTTAACTTGACTTTTGCAATCATCTTTTCAATCTATCGATGGCTACTGGCAATGGTTCTTTCAAATCATTACCAAAACACATGAGTGATTCATGGATAGTTATTGATGATCATCCAGATGAATCGGATTTTGTGGTCATCGAAGATGTAGATGATAAAAAACGGCCTCCCATACCATTAATTCCATCGCCGAAAGCTTCACCACAAATAAAACGACCATTAGCACAAAACAAT